GCTTGGGCCCAAAGCGGACAATATCATACTATGGTGGAGGAACGGGTGGACTAGCGGGCCCAACATACACAACCTCAAGGTTCGTACCTCTTTGGACAAAGCCTGAATCTCTAATGAAGAATTAACCCTTCCTTCCGCTCCATTTGACCTGAATTGCTTGGCCCCTATACTCAAAAAAATCAACCAAAATGAAAAACATAAGGATGAGAAAAGATAACTAGGAAAATTCATTGGGCAAAATGTTGAACAAATTAGAATCAAAATTCAAATACACCAAGTAGCTAACCAGAGGTTCTGTTAGGACTGAGAGTGTTGCCTGAACCAGAATTACTCATATTTGTTTGCAGTGATTTTGAGCTCTTCTGAGAACACTTATGATTTCGATCCTTTCCAACCTTAGCCCTTCGCTCCACAGGATTATAGTTCCTAGAAAAAAGAAAAAGTATTTAGCAAAGCATAACATACAGTACAAAATGAGAAATGTTAATACATGGCATAATATAGCATTTATAATAATTAGAAAAGATATGCCATGTGTGTGTGGACATGTATGATAATCATACAAGTAATACTGCAGTTACATACGGATTCCTAGAAGTAATATAATTACATTGAAATTCAGAACTGTTTAAATGATAGCGAAGATACTCAGAGCAAGTAGCATACTCATTCATAATGCCACCATTCACAGAATCGCAGTAACGCTTCAGCCATTGCAGGAACTCCAAGTTGTCCAAAGGTCGGCCTTTAACAAGCCTGCTAACTTCAACATGCTGCCACAGGATAGTCGTGTTAAAGCCCCCTATTAAATATAAATAGTTGATAGGGATTTCAACCAAAGTACTTTTATCTACTAGTTTCCAATCACATGCAAGTCTATTATCTAAAATACATTTACTATTAAATCACGAGAGATCAAAACCAGATCGCACACCAAAAATTTTCTAAAGTAACCTAAGCCAACTCGCCCAAAGAGATAATTCCCCACAGTTGTAGTCTGAGTGATTAATGATTGAGGATACATAGTGTTGCCAAGCAAAGGGGACAAGGAAGGAAGCATCAATAAAGTATAGGTGAAACAGAATTGGAAGGAAATCCACCATTAAATTTATTCATTAATTGGATTCTAGGCCTTTAATACACAATTTTTTTTATATGCTAAAAGTTTATTACTGGTAAATCATTCCATTGAAGCCCCCAGGAAAAACAGTTGAAAATTATCATAAGCCATCCTTGCAATATTTCGTTCTCTATTAATATTTACTTAAAGAAAGCTCTCTTTCAATTCCAAGTATTCCACTTAACAAAATCACGAGAAAAAACAGATACCTTGTCGATTTTCAGCTTGTTGAACACGTCCTGCAGAATTTTGTAATTCTGGATCATATCATACTCAGTCTTTGCATCAAAATTCACCTATAACAAAACCCGCCTTAAGAAAATTACCCTTCATACCAGACGAGCTCAATAGGAAAAAAACTTAAATCAAAGTAACGATGTCACCTTGTGCATTGGAACAACCCCCGGAAACGTCATATCCATCATCTGACATTGTACAGCGCCAGATGCAGCCTAGCCAAAGCATAAACAGGATCAGAACCAAAAGATATATTTTCATCATAGATAATATTCCTAGAGATACTTTAGCCAAAACGGTTGAGTTCAGCTTTTGGAATCCTTGCCCCCAAAACACAATTCTAAAAAAAGACAAAAACAAAAACAGTCCACAATCACATGGAATAGTGTTCCTTAATTGTTGACATTCTTGCTAGTTGTAATTGTTCTCAAATTCTTTTGAAATCAATACCAAGTGTTGCACTTTGCAGAAATATACACAAGAACATTAAGGTGTGAGTTAGTAAGAACATGCAAAGGAGGTCCAGAGTTACCTCCTCAACACGCGAGAGATTGAGGTGCAGCCTGTTGTTGATCCAAGTCAGAATCTGATTCCTGCCGACAAAGTAGGCACTGTCCATCATGCCTATACTCGACGCCATCTCTTCTTTCCCAGAGACAGAAAAAAATGGGAATGTGGGAACAAGAAGATGAAGAAGAGTGTTTTTTTGAAGATTATGGAGCAAAATCTTACGTGGGTTTCAACGAAGTTTCGATTTTTTATTTTGGGAACTCGGGAAGTGGAATATGAAAGCATGGCATTGTGGAATGTGGAATTTGGAATTTGTACTCTTCACTTCTTCAGTACATTACTTGGCATGGCCAGCCGTGGCGGTGGGAAAATCAATATTTTTAATAATTAAATTATATGAATTAAAAATTTCCCATTTTGATTATTAAATAGTTTGAAATTTGTTGATTTGGTATTGATAATAATAGTAATAACATGATGCTAATATTTGATGCCAAGTGGAAGGATTGGCTGGACTGCATTCTTACTAAGGTGGGAAAGTGGCATCATGAATGTCTTCAGCAGTGGAGGCTGAAAAGTAAAACACATCAACCGGCCATCTCATGAATGTTTCAGAAAAATAATGAATATCTTAAATTAGACATTTTTTAAACCAAAACAGGCTTTCTCTCTCTCTCACCCTTAACAATAACACACGAAGAAGCCTGCTAATACTTGAGAGTATGAAAAAAGTATATCTTAATATAAAAATAGAAGAGAGTTAAAAAAAACGACTTTTTATTGATTTAAACATGTAATTGATGCAAAATAGCGATGCAAATAAGTTATATTTATTCGATCTCCTATATGAAATCGCAATCGAAAGTAATATTTTATTTTTAATCAGATGGAAAAGAGTTATAATTTTCGTGTTAAAAAAAATCAAATCAAATGGTACAAATGATTATTTAACTTTTTATGTAATATTGAATTTGTTTGTTTAAATAAAAAAAGAAAGAGTGTCTTCAAAAAGATGTTTTTTTAAAAATAATTCTTTAAGAAATAGTAAAATAGATAGGGTTATTTCTTAAAAAAATAAAAGATAATTTATTTATAAAAAAAAACAGTTAATACAAAAAAAATAAAAAATAACATAATTAGTAACTTTATTAAAAATACTTTTATAAGAAAAAAGAAAAGTTTAAACCAAAGAACCCTTTTATTGGGTCAACAGCAGGGATAAGCAGACCAGAAACATTGCAGATTGCATTGGGATCAAAACACTGGGCTAGCTACGAAATTGGGCCTTTTACCATTCAAATTGAGAAGTGTTATGACGAAGGGCCAGTGGGCCTTAGAGTGAAAAGCCCGGCCTTTCCAGAACTAGGGTTTTGGGGTCTCTTAAAAGGGTGAAAGAAGCATGTAATGAACTTGAGCTGCGTAAACCTAGTGTGCACCGTGAGGGTTGAGAAGCAGAGAAGATGGTGCACGTTTCTTTCTACCGAAACTGTAAGTACTTCTCCCTCTAATTTCTTCATTCCAATGCCTCTGCATTCATTTGTTCATATGAAATCTCATTTAATCTGACTCTGATCTGAGCACAAAGGCGCATTTCCAATTGAATTGACGTGTGTGATTGAATAGATGGGAAAACGTTCAAGAAGCCGCGTCGTCCATACGAGAAGGAGCGTTTGGATGCAGAGTTGAAGCTCGTCGGAGAGTACGGGCTCCGCTGCAAGAGGGAACTGTGGAGGGTTCAGTACGCCCTCAGCCGCATCCGTAACAATGCGAGGAATCTGTTGACCCTCGACGAGAAGAATCCCCGTCGAATCTTCGAGGGTGAGGCCCTTCTCCGAAGAATGTTCCGTTACGGTCTTCTCGACGAGACGCAGAACAAGCTCGATTACGTCCTCGCCCTCACCGTCGAGAACTTTCTCGAACGCCGCCTCCAAACCCTAGTTTTCAAATCCGGCATGGCCAAGTCCATTCACCACGCTAGGGTTCTCATCAGGCAGAGGCACATCAGGTCCTCTCATCGTTGCTGTTGATTATGCAATGCCTTTTTATTTTTACTCTCAATTGTTTTCATGTAGTGTGTTATTTAGTAATATTTGTTTCATAGTTGTGATTACGATTTAGTGATTATATGATGGCCTTGCTATAGGATTTGATTCAATCAAGGGCTTATGTTTATCATACTGAAACTGATTTTGTTGAATAGAATCTATGATGTTGATTTTTGTGTATAGTATTTGCTGATTTTAGTGGCATTTTGTTTGGGAATGGATTTTAATGTTTTTTGGGGTGTGGCAGGGTTGGGAGGCAGGTTGTGAACATTCCATCATTCATGGTTAGGGTTGATTCACAGAAGCACATTGACTTCTCGCTCACGAGTCCTCTAGGCGGTGGTCGTCCTGGCCGAGTGAAGCGAAAGAACCAAAGGGCTGCTGCTAAGAAGGCTGCTGGAGGAGATGGAGATGAGGAGGATGAAGATTAAATTAATGGCTAGTTGTGTTTAGATCTTTCGCTCCTTTTATATTTGTGTTGGTAGACATTTTAGAATTTTGTCAATTGTCATGCTCTGACTCTTATAATTTTGATGTCCTTGTTCCTTGTTTTGAGGTAAAGCTGTGCCTGAGATATGCTGTTTTGAATATTTATTTCTAAAGTATTGAAGTTTTGCTCCATTTCTCTGGTATTTCTGCAACTAGAAGGAATTACTAATACATTGGTTATTGTAGGCTTTAAGGCAATACCTATTACTTTTGATTTATAATGCATAATGTTATTGTTTGGGTCAGATGACGGAATCATAAAGTAATCCTGCGTTCAACTATGATTTCATAGTTCATACAATGCTGTACATTCTTATGCTTTACTTAGATGTCAACGTTGCTAATTAGTTATCCAGATCATCATGAATTAAGAATTATAGATTTTATTTTCTGCATACAAGTTCTTCGGAAGGTTGCTACTAAGCATTACTGCTAAACAAACGAAATTTGTGCTGTGTATGCTTATTCTAGTTGTGTAGTGTTGCGAAGGATGAAGGAATTTGGATGCGGTTTAATACAGAGTTATACTGTATGCAGTGGCGTGGTTTTAATTGATTTTTGCTAAACTCAATTCGCACTAATTTGTGCATCGTAAATAGGGACTGTAAGCAGAAAGGCACAATGCTGTTTGAGTTTGCAAAGTTATACACGTATCGAATCAATTATTGAATCTTCATAGTGTAGGCTATTGAAATGTCGAAAGAGATCTGGCAGGAGTTTGTTTTAGAGGCATTCAGTCATCGCGAAGTGTAAGATGAGATGTGTGCTTTCTGGTGTCTCAGACCAGGCATGGCTAGAGCTGGCAAAATTGAACATGGTCTATTGAGAGAAGGTTCGATAATTTGGATGGCTTGGATGCTAAAAAGTAGGTTTGAGGGTCATTTTGTTTGGTCCAGTCTAAATTTTCAATAGCTCGAAATGAGCTAGCCTGTGTTGACGGGCTGGCTGGACAGATCTGTTATTCATTTTAAAGTTAATATCTTATGAATATTGAATTTTAATTTTTAATTTTTAGCATTTATGTTCAATTATAATTAATATAATTTATTCTATTTCTATAATTTTGTTATATTTTGCTATTTTACTAGTTTATAGGGATTAAAATCTATTTTTAAGTATAAACTTATTAAAAAAAACTAATTTATTTTATTTTAAAATTGACTGGCCAAAGTTAGCTCGTTATGCATTTGGCCCGCAATGGGCTGGGTTAGAATATTTTTGGTAGATGATAAACACACCTCCACTCTCGTATAAACACATCCTCTTTTTTAAAAAAAAATATATAAATTGTCTAAATTACCCTTTTAAAAAAAATGAAATTCCTAAATTTACACCTCCCTTCCACGCACCCCCTTCCTCGCACCGGCCTGTACTGAAGCCGTACTGAAAGCAGTACAGGCCGTACTGAAAGCAGTACAGGCCGTTCTGCTTGCAGTACAGGCCGTACTGAAAGTAGTACAGGCCGTTCTATGGCTGTTCTGTTGCAGTACAAGCCACCGCGTCACTTTTAAAATGGCTAGCTTATGATTGATTTTAAAACTCCGATTTTAAAAGTCATTTTTGTATTAGTGTATCTTTCCATAGAACAAGTAAGAGTCTTTCTCTTACAAGACCACCTGCTGACATTGCGCACCCCTCTTCTTTCTCTTTCTGGCACTCCTCTTCTTCTTTTTTTCCCGCACCTCGCACGCCCCTCTTCTTTCTCTTTCTGGCACTCCTCTTCTTCTTCTTCTTACTGTTATGGAAAGTTCTTTCCGAAATTATATAAAAATGTTCCGGAAAATACTTTCCATAATATTAAATTCTTATTCCAGAAAGTATATTCCGGAAATGTTTTGTTACATAATTCTGGAAAGTACTTTCCATAATATTAAAGTTACTATTACGAAAAGTTCTTTCCGAAATTATATGAACAATAATTTTACTATTCCGGAAAGTACTTTCCGGAATGCTAATGACTGTAAAAGTACTTTCTGGAATTCTAATGACTGTAAAAGAACCTTTCATATGCTGGTTATGGTGGGGCTAGTCCTTTTTTTCTATTCAGAATGACTGTAAAAGTATATTGCTTAATGACATTGAGCGGAAAGAGGCTTTGGGAAGAAGAGGAGTGTGGAGTGTGGGGTGCAGGGTGCGGGGAAGGCAAGTGTAAATTTAGGAATTTTATTTTTTTTAAAAGGGTAATTTAGATATTTTATATATTTTTTTTTAAAAAAAGGGGTGTGTTTATACGAGAGTGGAGGTGTGTTTATCATCTGCCAATATTTTTTTTGCTGTGTGTGTGGCATGCCTTGGCACAGCCCAAAAATGTGTTGGTGCGTGATGGACTAACACGAATGTATCCGGAGCTGATAGAGGTATTTTATCATTTATTTTTGTTTCCGACCTTGCTATTGTTTTCATGGATTAAATCTTAAAATCACTGCTTAATAGCAATATTGTAATGTGTTTGAATTATAGTTATAAAATTTAGTTAAGTTGAATTCAACTTTCTAAATCTAAAAAAAAGTAACATTATTGTTTTTTATTTAATTAAAATTTGTTTGTAATTTATATACAACAGAATGAAATTGTTTTTGGTCATACGTGTACGCATTGAGTTCTTGACCAAACTACATGGGTTTTACATTTCAAATGTGTAATCAAACTTAAACTTATCCCTAGACCTCTTAGCTCTATCTTCATCGTACGCAATTCAATTATCTAATTAATTAAAATTAAGGTAAGTTTAATTGATACATAATTAATATAAAAGTAATTTGGATTATTTATATTAAAAATTAAAAATAATGTTTAATATCAATTAGTTTATAATTTTTTTGAAAAATTGTAATTATGTCCTTCAACTTAAATAAATTATAATTAAATATATTTTAGTGTATTTGAAATCCTTAAATAGATTAAGAAAAGAAATCAAGAGGATCTATATTACAAATCTATCAATTTAATTAATTTTTGACAATATAGCAATTTAGTTAATGTTAAAAAATCTATTTAACTTAAAAAAGTTATTTTTATAAAATTCATTATATATCTAATAATCCGAACCAAATCAATCTAATTAACATCAAATTAGTTCAATTTTAGTTTAGGAAAAAAAATTTAAAAATCTGAATCAATTTAGACCAATTAAATTTAATTAATTTAAATTAAATTATCCCTCAAATTCGAAGTTACTCCACCATCAACACCCTACTTGCATCTATCATTTGTATAAATATCTTAAATTACTCTCTGCTTCAATACACTTTTCGAAACATTCAATCTGGAGCACTTATTTCTTAACAATGTCTTTTTGGAAACTTATTCATGAACACTCACTGTTCCAAACTAAGTGTTCTGCAAAGATACTGTTTCATAATTCGTGTTTCGGAATAATATAATATTTCTATATCATTCAATCCGTAAAATCATCGTGCATTGCAAATCAAACCTGTTTTTTACTCCTAACTGCTTTGTGTATGTTTGAGAAGCCATTTGACATTAAGTAAATGGCAATTCTCACTTTCCACAACATAAAAATAAGAAGCAATAGTGTCTTGCTTATCACACCAAACCATGTGCTTTTATTTGATTACCTTCTACCACTAAACTAGTGTGCCTGTCTCATTTTGACAATCTATGTGCCTTTCTCACTTTTTGTCTTGTCTCTAGCATTTTTTATTTTCGCTTTATACACACTATGTGAGGACTGTCAATTTAGAAATAATTCTTTTGTTTTATTTATATTTCGGAAAGGCCATTGTAGATAGGTTGACAAATCGGGTTAACTCGGAGGGTGGGTTCGAAACATGTTAAACATTCTAATTTGAGCAATGACAATGAAATGGAATGGGTATGAGTTTCATTATTCTCATTCGCATTCTAATTTCTTTTCTTATATCTTATACTTATTTATTATTCAGTAAAATCAAATATTCTCGGTTAAAATCAAAGTAGATTCAATCATTATTTACAGTTACGGATTTGTTTTTCATTTTTAATTTCTATATTTTTAACATTTTGGATTCAGTATGTCGGACAATGTTAATGATATGAAAGGGTGCCTCTGAAAAATTTCTAAAGAGTGGGTATATGAAGAAAAATGATGGGATTAGGAAGAAAATATCCATTACTAAATTTCTATTTCTCATCCATTCCACTGTTTTTTTTTGTTTTTTTTTTTTTGCTTATTTTCTCTCCCAAAACATCATTGTTCAGAATCTAATTTCCGAATCATAACTTCACTATTTGGTAGAGATAATTCTTAAAATATTAATTAAATATAATTTTAAAACTAATTTTCATAACTCATAAAAAAATCTAATTTTCAAAATTGATGAGGTTTCTAACTCCGGAGGATGAAATTGAAATAACTTGTTGCTTTCAAAGACATTGAATGGGCATTTTTTATTGTTATGGATGTTCCTTTTCTCAGTTGTTAAAGATTGAATGTTACATATAGGGCTTTTGGAATTTAATTTTCCGAGAAGTGTTAAAATATTAATATTTTTAGATATTAGTTTCCTCTCTCCCATTATCAGGAGACAACAGGGAAATGGGAAATTGACGACGATCCATAAAAGGAATAGGGCAACATAAAAGTGAGAGAGGGGAAGAGAACAATGACTGTAAACGAGACGTAAAGGGGGTGCAAAGTGAAGGAGAAACAAACGGGGGAGACTATTTTTCGAATATTATTTTCACACAAAAAATGAAAATAAGCGGTATAGAGAAAATGAACTCACATTAATTTAGAAACAAACAAACAACAAGCATACCAAACAATATAATTAAAACCATCTATGGAACAGGAAAGGACTAATTTTCCAAGCATACCAAACTCACATTAATTGATTATTACATGTGGCTCACTACACATAAAACTTAACCAGTTAGTTTTACTTTATGAGTTGTTAATGTTGTAATGAAATTAAGGAAATATTTAGTAGTGGTTAACTTTACCTTAAAAGACTACGGTCACCAATTATGTTAACCATTATCATTAGATGTATAACTGTTCACAACAATATTCTGTACCATCCGCACGGAGTTATTATTATTTTTTTTGCTGTTCAATTTTGTCTCGCTGGTATCGCCAGACCTTATCGACGAGACTCTCAACAATACCATATGACCCTTGAGAGGAGACAACAACCCCAAA